CCCGTGTCCCCTGCATCGGCAGGCGGACTCTCAACCACTGCGCCACCAGGGAAGCCCCAGCCCCTGATCCTGATTGAAGCCTGCTGTGCACAAGTTTTGTGTGAAAGGGGTCATATGAACTGACGTGGGGGAATGGGGGCAGTGCTGGAAGTATAGAGTGGAGCCACAATCCGTGGACTGAACTAAGTCAATAGAAGTAGGAGCTCAGAGCCATAGGTGACCATGGAATTGTAAATACTCAATGCCGACCTCCCCACCCCATCCCAAGCAATTTGCAGAAATCTCAAGGAAGACATTGGACTTCCCAGAGGGTCAAAGCCGTCTTCTCTATATCTTAAAGGATAGAGACACCCCAGTTGCCTCTGGGTCACATTTATATAATGTCCCTTTCCTTCTTGATCTTGCCAACCACCATTTTCCTAACCATATGCTCTTCAGGAATGTAACCACAACTTTTGGTGAGGGTTGCTGTTCGTAAGGCAGCAGAGTACAGCAGGTAGGAGCAGGGATTCTAGATCCAGACATGTTGCGTTTGGATCCTGGTTGTCACTTACTGTGTGGCCTTGGACAAGCTAATTCACCTTTCTGAGCCTCACTCAGTTTATTCATCTATAAAATGGGAGTGATTCTCTACCTCATACAGCTTTGGGGAACATCAAACATGGTACCATATATAAAATATGTACAACAATTCATATAGTGTTCTATGGGAATTAGCTAGTACCTAAGTCCTGCCTCAGTGCCTGGTAGGAACTCAACAATTGGTATGGATCAGTATTGTAAAGTGGCCTGTGAGTTCCCACCCTCTGCTCTTATCTACCCAGAACCCTGGGAGACTTGGCTCAAGGATGAGCAGGGCCCCATCTACCACCTGCCCTTCAGTTCTCTGGAACCTAACAGAACCAGGGAAGCCCCACATGGGGAGGCTTTCTCCAAGGGAGTCGGGATGGTTTGGTACAGCTCATCCCCCCTCCTGGAGCAAACTACCCAAGCACAGACCTCCTGGTAGGAGAGCGGAACTGTCCTCTTAAGGGGAAGACAGTATTTTAATAGGCTCCATGTGATAGGAAAACCGGTATTGCTGTTGAGGAGTTGCGGGCCGAATCTTTGAACTCAGGGGCTCTTCTTGAGCAAGGTGGGCAAAGTGGTGCGAACTCCTCAACCCTCTACCTTTGGCTTTGCCGCCTTCTCTTCTGGGTTCTGGCTGGAGTGCACGCAAAGAACTTGTGCTTTCCCAGGGTTCTCTGGGGGCGGGGGGGGGAACACAGCAGGCAGGAGAGCATGAGGGGCCAGGTCCCTACCTGGGAGCTGCCCGGGAGATCTGGGGAGACCCCTTCTCCCCGCCAGGCCCTGGTGGATGTGTGTGTGCCTGGGTCAGGCCAGGCTTCCGCTCGGGCTCTCCTGGCAACCTGGGAGGGGTTGGCTCCCTTCCCCCAGCCTCACCACCCTCTTCTATATCCAGGTCACAGATGTCTGAGCAGTACCTACTCTGTGTCAGACACGCTGCCCGGCACACAGGACCCTTTACAGTCTAGATGGGGAGAACAGTGTACATTGAGAATACCTGTCCTCTCCTTTCCCCTCCAACCTTCCTTCCCCTCCCCCCACCCCGCTCTGGTCTAAGGTACCCCCTCCTCCCTGGTCTCCCTCATCCCCTCTGGGACCCCACAGTCCATTCTCTACACAGCAGCCGGAGGGGTCCCACCACACCCTGCTGATAACCCTCCAGTGAACCCCATGCTCTCTTTATGAGACCACATGCCTGGCCTTTCCCACAGGCCGGCTCTGCCCACCTATCTCATTTCTTACCACTGTCCCCAACTCACAAGGCTCCGGCCACCCTGGCCTGCCTGCTCTTTCACCAACACACCTGGCAGGTAGAAGCCCTGCTCGCAGGCTCTCCCTTGACCCAGAGAGGGCCGGATCCTTCCTGCCTTTCGGCTCAAGGGGCCCTCTCCCCACCCTGCCAGTCCTCCTGATTCTGCCATCGCCCTGTCATTTTCCTTAGGGCACCCATCTGCCTCAGGTGTCTTTGTGGTCTGCACTCCTCTCCCTAGGATGAAGCTCCACGGCAGCAGGAACTCGTCTCCAGATTCTCCCCCAGTGATCCCAGAAGCTAGCCAGGTACTAATTAAGGATCTGATGAATGAACGAGTGGATGGATGGATGGATGGATGGATGGATGGATGGATGGATGGATGAAATGAGCCGCTTCTTTGGGCAGGGCTCCATCTCCAGGGGGTCCTTGTATCCCCTGAGGAATCTATCCATGGTGGGCCACTGTGAGCCCCCAGTGACCTGCTATGTGGACTCTTACCTGGTTTTTCGCTTTTTGATAGAGGTGGTGTCTTCGTCTTCTTCAGGGATTGGCTAAAACCAACACGAGGAGAGGCTGGGAAGGTCAGGCTGAAGCCGTGCAGCCAGCCGAGTGGCAGGGTGGGCAGGGAGGTGGGGAAGGTGCCCCAGGGAGAGGCGAGAGCCACCCCTCCTGAGAGCCAGCAGGTGTCTGTCCAGGGATGGCCCCACCCCAAGCAGGACCCCAACAACTGTGACTCCATCGCCCTCTGTGGCCACAGGGAACCAGGCCCTTCTGTAAGGAGCTGTAGGGAGGCCACTGCACCTGCCCTCCCTTAGCCTGCTGCTTCCCTGCAGACGGGAAGCCTTCCTGTGCGAGTGGAGAAGACAGAAACCCTGCTTTCCTAATGAATTACTCATGAGCATGGATAACATTCATATCTCGTATTGGCTTTGCACTCAGCGAGCCTTTTTTTTTTTTTTTTTTTTTTTTTTTTTTTTTTGGGGGATGGGGGCCCTCCACTGTTTGGGTCCTTT